ATCTCCTTCACTGGCGTTTCGTGCAAGGTTATGGAACACGTCATTTTTACAGCTATTATGTCCAACCTTCACCCCAATGACTTTCTTTTTTCGAATCAGCACGGCTTTAGACAATACCACTCATGCAACACTCAACTATTTGAGTTCATCACAGATTTGCTCTTTAACACTCATGCTGGCACCCAGACTGATGTTATCTTCATCGACTTTGAAAAGGCATTTGATACAGTTCCCCATTGTCGCCTACTTTTAAAGTTGTCCCATCTTCAAATAGACCGATCTATCGTGGAATGGATTGCAGCGTTTTTGCGCGGTGGAACCCAATCAGTAAAGTTAAACGATACCCTTTCCTCAAAACTTCCCGTGACATCAGGCGTTCCTCAAGGTAGCGTAATTGGTGCCCTCTTGTTTTTAATTTATATCAATGATCTTCCATCCACCTTATCATCAACAATCAGGTTGTTTGCAGACGATTGTGTTTTATATCGAAAAATAACTAGTACAAATGACAGTTGTGCTCTGCAAATTGACCTTGACAAAATTAGTAATTGGTGCTTAAAATAGCAGCTTAACATTAACATCAGGAAATGCCGGCTAATGAGAGTTACCAATAAAACTAATGTGATATTAACCCAGTACAGCCCCCTCTCTCTCGAACTAGAAATTGCCATGTCGTATAAATATCTAGGTGTCCATTTCACATCCAGCTTAACTTGGAACGAGCACATTAATCACATCATATTAAGCGCATCTAGAAAACTCGGTTTTCTAAGGCGTACGCTGTACCAGGCACCCCAAGAAACACGCCTGCTTGCCTATAAAACTATAACTTTACCAAAACTAGAATATGCAAATATAATCTGGAGCCGCACCAAAATTACCTTGTTAAAAATCTTGAGGCCTTGCAAAGTAAAGCCGCCCGTTTTATTTCTGGAAATTACTCTTATCAAACCAGTGCCACGAGTTTAAAACAAAATGTGGGTCTGTCGTGTTTGGAGATAAGAAGGAAAATCTCACGCTTGTGCTTTTTTCATAGAATTTATTACAGTGACTCTACTTTCAGACACAATTTCTGTAGGCCTGCAACCCATACTTCGGCCCGATGTGATAACACCCAGAAAGTGGAACCTTTTGCATCACGCACTAATCTATTCTTCTCATCTCCGTTAGTTTTGTGCATTTCAGATTGGAACGCACTCCCAGACTTTGTGGCAATTGAACCTGACGAGTTGTTGTTTAGAAAAAAAATGTAGGGAATTATTGGTGAATTAGGTTTCCAAGATGATAATCTGTTTTCGGTTTGAATGCTCTTGGCATTGTGTACATTACTTGAGCCAATCAAGGGTCCCTCTGATGTTGTTCTTTCTTTTTTGATTGTTTTTGAACACCAAGTTTTATATGTATTATGCTTTTGTATGATTTTTTTCCCCCGAATCCTCGGGTTAGATAGTTTTTGTACCCAAAGTTTTATATGTATTGTGCTTTGTATGATTTTTTCCCAAATCCTTGCTCATGTAATACGTCCGAAAGGATGTCTTTGAGCAACAATAAATGAAATGAAATGTAACGTATGTATGTAACGTATGTAACGTATGTATGTAACATATGTATGTAACGTATGTATGTAAAGTATGTATGTAACGCATGCAACGTGTGTATGTATGTATGTATGTACGTAACGTATATAATGTATGATTTGTTGCTGTTGCCTATGTAATAGGGAATCCAGACTTAGTCAAGGTATTTGTAACAGCTTTTTGTCTGGATTTCCCTCCAGAGGTTTCAGAAAATAAAGCTTGATTGATTTACTGGTTATTTCTTGCAATGCCATTCGAAAGGCCATATGCTCGAGCAGCACGTCGTTTCAATACACCGGCGAGCGCATGCTCTTCCTTATCTCCTACGGGGAGGCAAGGCTGTGGTTGCGCGCTTTGTCCACTAGTGGCAGCACCCCTGGTGCGGAGATGGGCGCGATGGGAAACCGAAACCTAGACACGCCTCCAATTTTTTTTTTCTAACGCCGTGAAAGGTTGCGCGTGTTTTAGTTATCTCTACAAAGCACTAATTTGGTGGTTTTCGATGACGTACACAAGATTTCTAATGAAACCATGGCTTGAAATTTACAAATTAAAAAGGTAGTTACTTAAAATTAATGACGAAACTAATTATACAAAACAATATATTTTGCTAAACATACCATTTGGGAGATAACATTACGGCATCAACATTTTTAAGTGAGATATGTAATTTTCACGGTAACGATTTGGTCCGCGTTTCGTGAAACAGCCTGTTTGCCTAGAGTCCAAGACGTATCTCTCTATTTTTTTCTAATTTCTAAATCTGTTTTTTTTTTGTGGGGTTCTTATCACACTTTCATTTTTTCTTACCAGTCGTCTGTCTGCGTTATGAACTACAGGCTTCACACTTATTGTTGTCTGCCTACAATTTTTAAATACCCTAGTTTTTTTAGGAAAACAAAAGATGTTGACGTGGTTTTTATCTTTTAAATTATTTTCAGTCGTTACGCGTAGATATTTATAATCATTCACTTTTCAACAATGACAAAGTCTGTTGACGCTGTGCACATAAACTAACACATTCTTGTGTTTTTATTTGTTATCTTAGGTATTACGGTTTCGGTCGTGGTGCCCCATTCACGGCACCACGATTCAGTTCGATATATGTACCTTATATCATATCGTGATCACATGTATGTTAAGGGAATTCTAATGGCGAAAAGCGTTCGACCAGGTTGCCCGCATGTCAAACCATTTTTGACCATCTCCACTGCGAAACGGAGAAGTGTGCTTCGCGAGCACCGCACCGCCGCTTATAAAAGGCCGTCGCAGAAGGTGCGCAGGAGAGTCGTATGTAAGTTGCGGTGGAAGATGATGACAGTTAATAAATGACAACGTGTCGTTGAATTAGTGCTTCGGGTCATCCTCTTGGCAGGCATCAAGAAATAGTTGGACTGTAATATAATCTTTGATGGCGAAGGGTATGTGCCTCCTATATAAGTTATAAAGAAGTCGGTACCCGAAACATAACCTCGTGGAACACCCCATAATACCGGCGTTGGAACAGCGCTATACATGTCAGACAATCGCTTTTTTATTCAATTAAACAATTCTGAAGTAACTCATCTGAAGTTTCTGAATTAGACTACTATAAGGAATTCTATCAAAAGCACCTAACATATATCGAGAAATATTGCTTCAGTTTGTCTCATAGGTATTAATGCAATCGGAAAAATTATGAATACACTTACTTAAATGCGAGACTCTTGAAGCGCTTTGTTTAAACCATGTTTGTTCTTGTAAGGAAGGTTAATATTTTTCAAATAATTACATGCCGATTTTGATACCATGCACTCCATTATTTTAAACCTCTTGCATAGAGTAAGAACAACTTTAGCGCATCGGAAGTCGTAAGAAAGTGCGATTGAAATGTTGGACAAAGAAGCTTTGAAGATTAGCCTCAAATATTTAAAAAAACTCCCTCAACGTACACCTTAAAAACAGAAATTGTAATAATGTTGGGTTTTCCAGACTATTGCACGTTGATGTGCAACAATAGAACAGAAATGCCATTCTTCGAAATAAAAATCATTGAACTTCTTACGTTTCTTACACGCCTTCCACTGCGTTCAATAGCCTTGGCTGTATGGACCAAGCCACTAGCTTAGAATCGCCAACTTTCTGTGATGCATGCTTTGCATTGTACGAGATTTGTTTTCGTGGATATATATAGGATGGGTCGATAAATAAACCAGTTAGCTGGGTTTGAAACGTCCCTTTTTGTGTCTGTTTCTTCTACTAAAAAGTTTCCAATTTACTCCACCACAGTCTCAGGGGTTATTTGACATGATTTGTTTTCTTTTTTTTTTACTATTCCGATAAACTGGTAAGGAAATTATGACTGATGAACAATGTCTTAATTTGCAGAAGATTTAGATACCTGCTATAGCTACTTTTCCACGTAATCACACCGCAGATGTACGAGGGACGTTTATTGTCATAAACGTATAGAGATTCAACTTTGAAACTCGGGTAGAAGTTTGGTCTTTCTCTAAATGTTCGCCACCCAATGTCACACACTTTTTTTTTAGCAATAGACAACCTGCGGTGGGCCACTGTTATAGAGCTCCTCTTTATGAATGTTCAGGAATGACTCCACTTCAGTAATCATTTGGTCGTCGTCCCCCTTGCAATGCTTTCAGGCTTGTTTGGCTAGACTGGAAGCGTCCGCGCCATTTAACCAGAGTGTCGAAAACTGGGGCATTGTTCCCATGCGCTGCCACGAGCTCGGAATGAATCTCCTTAGCATTGCTTCCTTTCAAATGGAGAAAACGGATCGCGTGCTTCGACTTTCCCGAAGTGCGGTGTCATTTGGTTTTCGGAGCCCTAGCGGAGTTCGCGCTACTATAACTCGCAATGTTTATACTGTGGCGAAACTAGAAGGGCGCGAGCTCGTGTTAATGCCTCTTTTGTTCTTTTTCCTAAATTTTTGGTGCCGATAATCTGAAGTTTATGGACATCTCTTTTAGACGCCTGCGATGACGTGGCACATGCTTTCAGGTGCCTTTCTCAAGAAAGGCTGCCGCCCGGGCTCTCAGTCATTCTGTCACGTGGTCAACGAGACCACCAGTCGTTACAGACGTTTTTGCCTGATCCCCATGACCATGGAAGTTTTTTGTTTCTTTTCTTCCAGAAGCTTTATGCGGTTTGATCCATACACATTACACGTCTGCGGCGACGAACGGTTTTGATGCCCTTCTTATTAGGAGGGCATAAAAAGCTTGTGCCACGTCATCATAAGCGCTGGTATCTACGGGGTGATAATGCGGAGTAGGAGCTGGAGTATATGTAACTAAACGTTGAACTACCTTAAAACATTTCTCGTCCGTCTCATTTTTTTTACCCAGTTCATCACAGTTCGGAAAACCAATAGCCCTCGTAGCTAATAAACACTTCGGAAGCTGGCTGTCAAGGTGACCTTACCTGTCGGCAGAGGCAGCAAACTCGAACGAGAGTCGGGTGGCAGCGGGACTTAACACGAAGCTGATAATAACTGCCTTTTATATGCAGCTTGTTAGTCTTATCAGGTTTTCACCAAGTTCTGTCACGAGGTATCGAGAGCTCAATTACAGAAGAATCGATACGGCATTTCTTTGTCCCAACCAAGATTAGGGCTTTTAAAGGGTGTGGGGGTTCTTAAGGGGGAGGTCCCTCTATACTGATAATCGCCACCCGATCGGTATGCGCTCCGCCCGTCACCCAGGGAGTTACACACTGCAAGGAGAAGACAGCGAATGGGTTTACTGTACCTCTCGGTTGCTGGTCGTCGAGAGCCGGTAGTCCGGGCCCGTCGACCCTTGTTGTCGCCCGTCGATCAGAGCTCACAGTCGGGGTCCGTGTCCAGGCCTGCGGATCGCCTTTCCCACGCCAGCGCTGCGTAGGCTGGCTGTCCCGGGCTATCAATGCCCGAGTCTCGCTGCGGAACCACCCCGGGATCGTCATAGCCCAGGTCATATGACACGGGCTCGCCGTTTCCGCCGGTCTTGCTCCAGACCTCGCTGGTGGACCGCTCCGGGGTTCGTTACGGGCCAGGCCAGGCCTAGGCCAGGCAGCTTGGCTTCGACGTTCCTTGTCCAGCTACCAGCCTCGCTCAGCACGCAATGTATCGCGCCAGCTCGTGTCTTCTCCGCCGACCGCCTGTCACGTGCCCTCTGCCTCGTCTTTTACCCCCGGCTCCCACACTCTCCCTCCCTCAAGGCCCGGACTTCGGGGGACTTCATGAGCCTCAGGGAGCCGCTGGGTTTCATGGGCGGCCGCTGTTGCTGTTGCCGGAGTGGCCACGTTGCAGCGTCCGAAAGCGGCGTAGGTGGTGGTGGCTAGCGAAGCCGGCAGACAATGCCGACCTGTCTGTCACTCGCTGTCCCACTCACCGCGAGGCAGCAGGGGGCTTGCTCTAAGCTGGTCCGGCCGACGCAGACGGACTTGTCCCGTTCCGCTTAGAGGTCACAGCGGGCTTAGAACTGCCCGCCTGAACCGTTCGTCAGGCCGAACAACTATCAGCCACCCTGAGCACTTGGTAAAACGAATGGCCAGTTTTCCCTCCCGGTGGGCTTCCTGGGTTACGCCGTCTACGGCAGTCTTTCCAAGAAGCTATTCTGCGCAGAATAAAGTGTTAAAACAACACACAACGAACAAGTACTCTGCCGCAGACTGTGGCAGTGGCCATAACCTCCACCGCCTAATTGCTTGCCGACGGGTTCGTGTACCATGCGGCTAACTCAGCAAGTCTGCATTCCAGAGCTCGCTCCTGGGTGGCAAAGAACAGGCGATTTCTTGCGTCCTACCGCAACCTCATGTTATACGTCTTCTCCATCGCGACAACGGTAGTATCCGTTCAAGTCAGCGATGTGAACCGGGCAAGCCTCCTCGTTTGTATCTCGCCGAGTAAGCCTAGAAGTAAGACACGACGCTCGCGTCTTTATACCTCGGGTGCCCTTCTCATCTCGGAGCAAGCGATGCGGCAAGACCACTAGCTGCGTTGCTCAACGCGTGAGTTTCCTTCTGAACAGGTAACGATGGAGTAAACCTAGTCCACCCTTTGCGCAAGCGAAGGGATCCAAACCCTGTGGGCGGGACGGCCATATTCCATAGCCGCGCTCCAAAACGGCTACATATACCATGTGGTACACGATGTAATCGTCAGCGTCCCGTTCCGTCCACGTGTCTACGAGCTCTAGGGACTGCTCGGTCCTCGGAGGGGCGGCAGCTCAGCGAGCAAACCCGCTTAAACCGTTTACGCCTCAAGGCAAGCTGGACAACTACAAGCCACCTAAATGGCTACCGCCTCATCCCCGGCCAGGTCGTGACGCGACATAACTTATTAAAAGTCTTGCTGTGACTGCCACGACTGGCCAGAGTGAAGTCGAGAAATTATCCTATAAATCGCCTCTGCCCTTCATGGATTGTTGGAGTGACGCGAAACAACTAGCCGTCTTGTCCCAGCGGTTACAAATCATACTGCTCCTTAACTCGCCTGCCAGCGTTCCCGGTGTCAACTGCAATTTACGCCAGTTTACCCAACAACCGCTGACAATCTCGTCCGCCAGTGTTCCCGGTGTCGACTGCAATTCCCGCAATCTTTCCGACATCCACTGACAAAAATTCATCTGCACCCCGAGCCTCGACAAGCGCTTACTGGCTCACCGCATCACTCCAAGCCAAAATCCTAGATATTCAATACATCCTGGCTGTTTCCCCTCCTGCCAGTCGCTATCCTGCCTTCCAGCGAACCTGCCGTGCCTCTCCTCTGCCTCCGAAGACGACTTTCTTACATCTTAACCGCGCTCCTCGTGTTCCCCCCGGTTACGGCACCTTCTGCCAACCACTATTCTGGGGTACCCGAGAAAGCGCGTCCGCAACCTCGTCCTTAGAGACCTTTAAGTACTCGATTCGAGGAGACACCTGCTGAGCTCTGCTGTGAGACAAGTCACCAAAATTCCAACATGCTTTGTCTCAAAGGGCATCGTTAGCGTTACTGAACAACCCGCTCAACGAATCCGTGGGACTCTCTGGGGACGACTAGAAGCAGAGGCATACCGAATGGGCCCCACGTTGGATGCGCCATTTTAATGTGGGTTTCTTGACGGAGATCCCTCTACAAATCATCGCCGCCCGATCGGTATGCGCTCCGCCCGTCACCCAGGGAGTAATACACTGGAACGAGAAGACAGCGAATGGGTTTACTGTACCTCTCGGTTGCCGGTCGTCGAGAGCCGGTAGTCCGGGCCCGTCGACCCTCGTTGTCGCCCATCGATCAGAGCTCACAGTCGGGGTCCGTGTCCAGGCCTGCGGATCGCCTTTCCCACGCCAGCGCTGCGTAGGCTGGCTGACCCGGGCTATCAATGCCCGAGTCTCGCTGCGGAACCACTCCGGGATCGTCATAGCCCAGGTCATATGACCCGGGCTCGCCGTTTCCACCGGTCTTGCTCCAGACCTCGCTGGTGGACCGCTCCGGGGTTCGTTACGGGCCAGGCCAGGCCTAGGCCAGGCAGCTTGGCTTCGACGTTCCTTGTCCAGCTACCAGCCTCGCTCAGCACGTAATGTCCCGCGCCAGCTCGTGTCTTCTCCGCCGACCGCCTGTCACGTGCCCTCTGCCTCGTCTTTCACCCCCGGCTCCCACAAGGGTAACTGCAAAGAAAAAAAATTTTTTTTTTTTTGAACAGCCTAATTGGGACAAGCATGTCAAAAAATAATTTTTTTTTTGTTTTTTGACATGCTTTTTTTCGCGACAAAAAAAAAGTTTTACAGCAATATTTATTGCGTGAGACTGATTTTAGTTTGCGGCTATTTCGCCCGTTTTAAATCGCGCGCCACGAAGTTGGGGTTCCGTGACGTTGAATCCCAATCGGCAACTATACTTCTCATTGGCTAAGAGTTTGATTGACAGCTTAGATCTTGGTTGTTAAACCTTTGTTATATGCTGCAATTTCCTTTTAAGCGGCATATTTTTACGTTTCAACAATAACCCATGTGATGAGAGTTATTATTCTTTTCAAAAGGTTTACAAGACGGGCACTTCCGTTTTGATTCATACCATAACAAACAAAAGCTTCGCCATTCTTTCATGGCCGCTGAAGTCTCCGCTACTGCCTGGCTCGCCTACCTCGACTAATCGTTTCGCCGAAGTGATCAGTATTTCTTGCTGACCCAGGTGCTTGAGTGAGACTTCTTGAAGTGAAGTAGTGTGTGTTTAGCAGCTGTCAGTGATAGGAAGTGATGCGGGTTTTTGGCTTTCATAACGCAGTTCTTTCGTTTACCTCTTTGCTTGCTTAGCGTCTTTTATTATTTTTTTTTTTTTTGCGCGCTTGCGCGTGCAAATGCTGACTTTTCGGAGATGTCAGATGAGTGATCCCAACAGCGAGCCTTCCAGCAGCGATGTTGGCCCGAAAGGAATGCTATTGAGGAGTTTCAGCGACGGTGTCACCGCCCTGGTGGCAGGTCGCCAAAAGAGAACGAGGGTGATAGGTTCTTTGGGCGTTGGCTTTGTGTTAATGCGTTGGCCGCGAAAGTAGGCTTATAAAGTTCGGCAGCAAGAATATTACCCGTCTCTAGTGTTCCGGTACGAGCAACAGAGGTGACACGATCTGCTACGACTAGCTATGACCACCCGCCGCAGCGATGCAGGCGTCGAAGGAGCGCAACCTGTGTACTACGCAGTCAGTCGCCGTCGCCCGACGAAGGTCGTTTGGCATTCAGGGCTTTCCGCCCCGGGTTCTTCGCTTGTACTTGGAACCGAGTATTATTTCCTGTGCTTGTGTATGTGCTCAGTGGCTGGATATGGACCTCATAGAGCAGTTCTTCAGACTCACCAGCGGCTCAAAGTTGACGGTGGAGGGGCTTGCAGCAACGCTTTCGATTGGTGCACGGGTGCGACTACACGGATACATTTTAAGATTGGTGCTAGCAAGGTGGGCCATAGTCGCTTTATGCTGACACGATTTCGAGTGTATGTACTCCGTGCAAAGACGAATCTATCGCGTTTCTAATCCACCTTTGTTTTTGTTGTTTTTTTTTTTAGCACGCACGACCGACTGCTAAGCAAATGCTTTTGTGCCGATCACGGAGTGAATGCCTTCGGCCTGTCATTGCGGAACGCCCAATAAAAAGTCATATTCGTTCAACGAGAAAACTTCCCTTTGGAGTAACCTCCTTTGATTGATAAATTCTCCCGTACTTAATTGCTTTAATCAACACGATCGATTAAGTTTGCTTCCCTAGTTAGGACATTTTTGTACCACATGCGGCACTAATGCTTGGCACGATGTATGCCACTGGTGGTATTGTGAATTGGTTTACTTCCAAAGCTAACAGTGTGAGAGGTGGGACCATTCAATTTGCTAAAAATGTGATGATAGATGATATGGGAATTTCGTTGCATAACTAGCGTTTTACGTTTAAGATTGATAAGAAACATGCTCATGTGATGAAGCATGTCTGCAGCATAAGCTTTGCAAATTCA